GGGTAGGAAAGCCCCGCTGCTGAACAAACTAGACCGCAATCGCGGTCACAAGCTTAAAGCTTTTTCTTTTGTCTTTTTTTTTTGTTCGTAGAATATGCCTCGTCGCAAACATCTGACTTCCGTTTCCGTGGTGCCCGACGTTAATTTTATTTCCACCGCGCGCATTGCGAGACCATAGGAAACCATATGTCGTAATGTAACGCCTGCGGCCCAAGGGGCATAAATTCTTAATCCCTTGTACATCGCGGCGAGTGCGAGAAGAAAAGCGAGAAGAGAAAAATAACGCGAAATCGTTCCGTTACGGATATACCTTGAAAGTCGTTTTTACTCTTTCGTTACTCAGACAATTCGTTTTTACTCTTTTTTGTTCTCAGACATTTCGATGCGTAGGTAAATTAGTTCTTAAGAACGCTTGCCATCAAAATTGAATATTAATTAATTAATTAACAAAAATCAGACGTAATTAATTAATTAAGTCAGGTATATATTTTATGTAATGCGATATATTGAACCGTCTCATAAATAATGCGAGTTTCCGGATCGCGGAAGCAGATCCGCGAAAGAAGCGGTCGTTTACATTTTACGTCGTCTGAAAGTGAAAAAGAAACTCGCATTACTTATGGAGCGACTCAATGACAATGTCGATTCTACATAGTAGTTATTTTGCCGGCAGATCTCACATCCGCACGTAGGTCAACTAGATTTCCGATTATTTCTGCAGGTACGTGGTAACTATTATTATCCGCAATCCGGAGTAATAACGGTCGGTATATTGTACGTATAGTACGAGTATAATTGTGCTATATCACGTCTTACACATTTCAAAGAGCCTCAGAGCAAGAGCATAGCCCGATCGGGTATGTGACGTGTATAGCATGAATGTATACAAACTAGTGCGCACGTGTTTCAAGTCGTGTCTAAAAAAATAGACATTTTTTTTATTTACATATACCTAGATGCTTTTTGTTTGCTTTCAATTTTGAAATTATCAATCAACAACGACGTTTGGAAGAATATTCAATTTTTATTTATTTATTTTTCATTTATAACGAAGACGCGTGATGGACATACGTATGTATGTGTGTTTTCGTATTTATTTATTTATTTTATCTATATAATTATTTTGTTTAAACCTACGTAAAATTATAAAGTTTAACAGTGACTCTCCGCAATGATGAGACTTGTGGGACTACGGTTGGAGCGATAATAAGCATGTAACAATGTTGATAATATAATTATAATAATATAATGCCAATCTATATTATTATACGGCATTATGTGTAATAACAACATAATAATTATATACATAATGATAATGTACTGTATAATGTTGCACGTACGTACAATGTAATGACCATTGTTACTTGACAAAATCAAAAACGCGCGTTTGTACGGCGAGCATTGTTACGTGTGTCTCATTGTCAATGTGAGATCGCGGGCCGCAGCCGTTCATTAATTTAACACGCAAGTCGTATTACGTAAAGTGCGTAACGACACGTCTCAGTTATATTATCGTGGATATCTTGCTAAATTCGCTCGCAGCAATGTCCTAAGTGACCAATCTTTCGCATCACAATAAAAAAAATCTTTATTTTTTTGCTTCTCGTGAGCTAATAACACACGAGGAAGTCTCTTCTCTTACTTATGCAAATTTCTCATAATACGACGATACAGCGCATATTACTTCGCGTATTAACAAATATATATATAAATATGAATTTTTCTCGATTTAAAAATAGAATATCTCTATTTTACGATTTAATGTAAAATATTCCTTCTAATATAAAGATAGATAAATAATTATGACACGTAAAAATAGATCATTTCTATTTTTAAATTTAAATTTCTTCCGATGCGAAAGTGGAAGTTTTCTATTTTAGCATTTAAGAGCTTCTTTTAATATATTAAATGGAAGATTTTTATTTTGAGAATTTAGAGCCTTTTTTTTTGTTTTTATGTCGAAATATAGAGAAGCATTTTCGTCTTAGAAATCTTCTTTGGTGCAAAAGTAGAAATTGTCGAGACTTGCTGTTTTAAAGGCGTTAACAGGTCTTTTGATGTTTGCCGCGGCAGCGTTTTGCATTGTAGATCGTTTGCTTGGATTTCAGCACCCGATACAGCAGATACCGCAAAATAATCTTCAACAAAATAACGCTCAGAGTCTGCAGCGGGACAATATGCCGAGAGGAAAAGATTCGAAGCCAAGAGGACGGATGACAGCGTACGCGTTCTTCGTCCAGACATGTCGTCAGGAGCATAAAAAGAAGCATCCCGAGGAAAAGATCGTCTTCCGGGAATTCTCCAAAAAGTGTGCAATGAGGTGGAAGGTGAGACTCTCTTAGAATTATTCCCTACAGTCTCTATAGTTATTATGCATATCACATTTTTATAGATATAATGTATATAGATATAATGTATAGTTATAAATATGTTTTATAGAAATAAGTAATTTTGATATTAATATCTTATTTTATATAATGCAAATAAATTAGAGATAGATTAATAGATCTATTTGCTGAATACTAGGATCAAGAGAAATGTAAGAATTAACTTAGAAATGATACTTCGTTGGATATTCCCGTATGTTGTGGTTTCACAGCCCGAGGTGCGAGCAAGAGAGTGGGATACATAATGTTCTTCTGTCTAAAGGCCTGCGGATTCGCGAGAGCTACTTTGATCTTGGCCTCTGAATAAATATGTAGTGCTTGGTAAACGCCACGCGCAAGTATAGTATTTAAGCGCGTCGTTACGAACCGACACGTCTCGCCTTGTTAAACCGTCAATCTTCATCTTGTTTAGCGGAATCGAGATTATTGATAAAGAAAATTCAACCGATACATGCAAAAATCTTTCGCATCGTGACGTTGTCATTAAAGAACGAGTCTTTTAGAGTATTCATTATCCCGTATGCACGCGACTGTACACGACAGAATATGCTGGACCGGTCGAGAAACACTTATTTCCTCAGTAATTGAACATTTATCGCACGTGGCTCGATCTGTGAGATCAATTAAAAATGCTAACGCTACATTGGCGGAATACCGCATGTGTCGTAGACTATGTCGGACATCGAGAAGAAACGTTTCCACGAAATGGCAGAGAAAGATAAGAAGAGATACGACACGGAGATGCAGAATTATACGCCGCCTAAGGGAGAAAATAAGGGCAGAGGCAAGAAACGTAAACACATCAAGGATCACAATGCTCCCAAGAGATCGCTGTAAGCCCTCATGTTTTTACATAATGTATTCGAGCTTGAGGAAAAAAATTCGTTGATTAATATTTAAATATACAACGAGAAAAATAAACTTTAAAATTTAAATGGAAACAAAAATTTAACTTTTTTTTTAAGCTTTTACTCGCATTTTAGAAAAATTTATGATCCGTTTCCTGCAACTTTTAAATTATTTTTTAATGTAAAGTTATAATTATTTTTCTGAGAATTAAATTTACAGCAATTTCTCAAAGCTAAATTCAAATTTATTATTTCCGAATTATATAATACATTATGATTTTTTTCAGTTTCTACAAAAAGGCTAGCTTAATATATTATCGTATTATACGATACCCTTTTAATAGCAGCAGATATATTTCATGATTAATTTTATCAGGTCCGCTTTCTTCTGGTTCTGCAATGACGAACGTGGTAAGGTCAAAATGCTGAATCCTGAATATGGTGTAGGTGATATAGCTAAGGAATTAGGCAAGAAATGGTCGGACGCAGATCCCGAAACCAAATCTAAATACGAGGCTATGGCAGAAAAGGATAAAGCTCGATACGAAAGGGTAACGTATCGAAATTTTATCAATCTCATGCTTTTAACCATTAAGACCCCTAACCTTGTACTGCAACCATGTAAAATCAAAAACTAAAAGTAATAGGTTTTTTTATATACGTCTGGATGTCGGAATATATTAATATATCTTTTGGCACAATTCAAATTGATTAAATGGATTTATGAGATAAATCCAAGTATTTTTAAAATAAATATGAGACCTTTTCCTCTCGCAGGAAATGACCGCGTACAAAAAGAAAATGCAAAATGACGGAGCCCCAATGGTAGGAGGTGCGCAGGCGAACCAAACTACAATAAAAAGCGACAGCGAAGAAGAATGGAAGGAAGACGACGAATAGCGGATGCACGTCGAAATTTCTTCATCTATCACCCCGTGTCCTTCATCCTGAAAGCATACCTCACCTACTGTACGTACCATTGACCTTAGCGTGAGCGTACTTACACCACCATCACTAGGAGAACAAAGCAACTAACCACCTACCAATCAACCAAGCTCTTCAACAATCCCCACCAACCAACCTCCTAATTCTTTCCCCGATTATTTACGATAATGATAAAGTAATCCGCGCTAATTATGGTAATTATTTTAAAAGGAAAAACTGGTATGCATGAGTGATGCGCGAGCATGAGCGAGCGAGGATCATTGTGTGAGTGAACATTTGTACTTTAACATATTGATAGTAACGATGATGTAAAGCGGCTAGTAGGATAGCAGAAGATAATAAAGAAAAAAAGAAATCAGAACCATGAATTAAAAACAAAAGCGGAAGAGATAAGACAAGGCCCATACTTTCTCTATCCGGATGGAAGGCGCAGGGGCTCAATCATTGTTGACTTTTTGCTCCGTCGACGCTATAATTATGAGCTATGTAGCTTAATTTACTAATGACGAACACCGCGATAATGACGGCCTCGTTAGCACGAGGATCGGAGATAGTTGTAATTCTTTTTACGTGGATTTTTTCCGATATGCAAAAATCATGCTTTTTTTGATTGTCTTTTTCACGCATTGCCATTGGCACGGGAGAGATCACTATTTTAGATCCTCGTTCTCGAGAGAGGCAAATCATATTGCGTGGTGTTACAAAATTAATATACTATACCAAGTCTGTATTATTTGAGCTCCAGAGTCAAAACGCAAAGCTATCGACGTAAAAAAAAATTCAATGCAAGATTTTAGGAAAGGACTGTTGATAAACATCACTTAAATGTGTATCAACACTTTATAGTTCCCGAAATCTTACCCACATTGAATTTTTTTACGCCGATGGCTTTGCGTTTTAGCTTCGGAGTTCAGATTGGACAGGCATGTACTATACTTTTGGGGATCTTTCTTTTAGTTCAGTTCAATTCCAGTTCAGTTCAATTCTGTTCACTTGTTGCCAGCGTCGTTATGGCATGAACACGTATACACACACACACACACACACACACGCACACAGACACACACACACACAGACACGTGCAGACAATTGTTGTATATCCTTGTACAGAAAGCTTCATTTTTTTCTTTCGTATATTTTTAGCAAATCGATCATGTTGAGCGCGCGTGATGGGGCATGGGGCCGCTTTACGCATATTTGCGAATATATAATTGATTTTATCGAGATACACACATGTCTCTTGTAGTAGCTGTAAGTACGTTTAGAATTAAGTATACGTGTATCTTAACGCAGACTTGAATTTTCCGGCGACTCTCTACGTCTTTTTTAGCGTACGATGTACTTTTTTCGATATTACACGGCGGTGTTACAAGCCACGAGCCACCATGTGATTGAGCCTTAATTACGTAGCCAATAAACGATGCGACGAATCGAATCGGGAGAAACTGTGTGCGAGAGAGAAAGAGAGTGCATGTGTATGTAGCTCGCAGCTTCTCTATTAGATCGTTGCATATGAGATGTCACCTTTTGAAAAAGTGAACCTCTTTTTAATAATCAGAATCATGTATGTTTACAATTCTTATACATATAATGAATATAATACAATACAATAATAATTATTGCTTTTTCAAACTGTGGAAATACAAAAAATTCGAGAAATTTATCATATTTTTCTATTTTAAAGATATTTCAATCAGACATTAATAATATTGATATTAATGTATTACTATTACCTTTAATTCTATCATTATTTTATTATAATTATATGATTTCTATATTGGTTTTTGATAAATTAAGAATTAATTGTAAGAATAATTTAGAAATGATTTATTGTAGACTACATACTTAGAACGAATCGTGTGAAAAAAAATGATCAAGTGTATACAAAATTTAACGTCCGGAATATAAAACTGGAAATATATATATATTTTTTTATATCTTTTTATCTTTAAGTTTCCTGTATTTTCGATCACGATTTTATTGATCGTTTTTATTAATTATTAAGAAATATTGAATTGAGTTTTTCTCAATTTTCCTACAATTTATATGCATCTTATACTTGTTCAGAAATTAAAAATGTATTGATGTATATATAAAATCGACATTTCATGTGCAGGGACCTAATATTAAATCAAAATTAGTAGCACGATATTCTTGTGGAGCAGCGGTATCGCCGCGCCAAGTTCTAATGCTTATTTATCAAAAACGACGAACGTATTGTACTCACGAAAACGAAATTCCATTTTTTATCGTAGACATTCGCGCTGTTTCGAGGCTGCCGGCGGCCTGCAATCAACAAAATTTTGTCTCTTGTCCGATAAATTCGACCGCAATTCCACGTCCTAACGTCTATTTATTAACTTTAAATTTGACTTTGATAATACCAGCAGAATCATATTTATTTCTTTGTTTTTTTTTGAGGCTACAGTCGCAGGAGCGTTAAAATAAAGTAACGGATGATACGATGAATAAATAATCGTTATATCATCGTAGTATAATATCGAAATTGACGCGCGACTCTCGTGCGATCGTAGTCTTATAGCGAATTCGGCAGACCACACTAATGCGCACTGAGTGCTTAAATAACTTTTCCATTGCCAACGCATTCGGCTTGTGCGCACTGTCTCAGTGCGTTAAGATTGTCATATTCGGCAAATAAAAACTGAACCCAGTGTAGTGCTGAATTTATATTCGGATCAATCGAATGAACTGAACGAGTTCAAAAAATATTTCACTGAAGTGCAAATATTTCTGACAGTGCAATTTGGCATAGCACTAAAGTGATTTTGCATTCGCACCATGTCAGGGCAGCATTAGAGCGGAGTCAGTGCCGAATTCATTATTAATACACCGTAAAAGATGTTCTGTACTTTCTTCTTTGTTTGACCTTTTCTCTCTTTCTCTCTCTCTGTTTTTTTTTCTTAGCCCGACACTGAAGTGGTCCCTGCCCCTTGCCATCGCCATTCTCCCTCTCACATTCGTTTTTAACTCACTGGAAAAAAAAAATAAAAAGTAGTAAAAGGATAATACGTTCAAATCTCTCGTCTCGAGACTCATGTGAATGATATAATAACCGCCGTTTCCTTCGTTAAATCATATTCCCGGGAGTGATCGGATTAATAGGAGATAAGCTCCCCACGAAGAAAAGGCGTTTTCTCTGTCTTGTACTGCCTCGAGTCATCTGGTGTACAGCAGGCTGTATTATAATAAATTATTGTGGTTTCTTGTAATATTAACATTCCTAGATCCTATAGCGTGTACAGTGATTCTAATCGTATTCGGGATTAGAGAGGGGACTGAGAGAGAGGAGTCGAGTAACCGATAATAAGTGAAAAGAACGATGAAAAGAAAAACAGAAATAGGATCTCACTAGTTTCTTCTTCTCTTCGTCGTTGAATGATGCCGAGATGAATATACATATAAACATATAAAAATATATATATTTATATGTACATTTACACTCGTGTGTTTCTATATGAATTTTTAGAGGCTTTCTTATGATTGAGATTTGACACACTTGCACCCTGGATATACATATATTTGGCAGCGGATCGGAAAATTTATCGTCACTTTTCTCAAGGACGTTTAAAAAATCTCTCTTCGTCTCTCCCCCGTCTCCCGTTCCCTTTCCCTCCCCTCCTCGGAGCACATTGTCTCGACGTAAAATAAAAAAAAATGGAAAAAAGGATGGCAAAAGATACGGATTTTAACAATTGAGCAAAACGTGCGAAAAAAAAGGAACCTGTTTTTTAGAGGGAGTTAGAGAACGCGGATAACAAACGACTGTAAAATATCAAATTGTAATATTTTAATACTGATTTGCAGATGTGCATAATTTTAACGTATAGCTGGTTATAAAAGAGAACGAAAAAAAAGTGAGCGGATTGTAACTGATACTGAAATTGTGTGAGACGCGATATCCGTTCCATGAAGAGAACGGTCGGACGAATAAAGGGGGGGAAAAAACGAAAAAAAGAAGAAAAAAAAGATGTGGAAATATTTCGAAAAAGGATCATGACATGAATTTCCTGTGTTATATTGCTAGGGGAATTATGATAGTTACATGAGAAGAAATGTTTGTTTTGTATATCTCTTAGGGATAAATAAACTTTTAAAAAAATACATCTCTCTCTCTCTCTCTCTCGACGATGGCTCTTCTCCCTTCTGGCAACTTGACAACTCCATTTTCCAAAGCTATACAATCGAACGAGTTCAATTAAGGAAATATATATATTTTCGCTATTCGTTTTTATATCTTGCTGAAATTGAAAGTACATCAGAAATTACAAATTTTTAACGTGCCGAGGATTCGAGAACCAGTGAAAAAAAATTTCTCGTATATTTGTATTCAGAGATAATTAAAAATAAATTAATTTTTTGCGACATGTAAATCGGCTTAAATTGAAATTGAACGATACGAATTTGATAAATTTTTGTACCTTCTCTTTGAGTATTTAAGCGGATTTCACATAAATAATCATAATATAAATTTTATAATTTTTTTTTTTTTAATATAAATGCAATCAGATCTGCAATATTCGTTTTACATTTACCGTGGAAAAAAAATGATAATCACGGATCTTTTATTGTGAAAAAATCTGTCAAAAAATTAATATGGAAATTTGTAAAAGATGTCTATATATGCAGAATTTTACACGATGTATCATTATTTGGATTATTTGATTAATTCTAATCCAGTCTAAAATAATTATGTACTATATTTTAATATCGCGATGCGCGGTATTAACTACAATGACTTGGTAATTTTTATTTATAACTTCATACATTCGGCAAAATACTTTTTTCTTCGAGGCATTTTTATACTTTCATATACACACAGCAAAATTATATATTGGGTCATCTAAAAAGTATCCGCGGTACTTTGTCACTAGATATATGACCATCAACACACATCTAGTGACAAAAAACCGCGGATACTTTTTAGATGACCCAATATAAGAATAAGAAAATCAGCCGTGTTTTATAATTTTCTGTACAATGAAATAAAAGCAGGCGGACGATTCCTTGTCCACACAAGATGTAAAAAATATTTTATGCGATAAAAGCAAAATGTACATACATTAGCAATTTGCGAGTGATTTTCTAATAAAGATTATATAGACATATATTGTTGTACATATATAATATGTGTACCAAAAGGAAAATGCAGTCAATAAATGCAATAGTCCAGTTCGTTCTCTCTAGCATTTAAAACGAAATGGATATATAAATTCAAGTGTCGGAGAAAAGAAGAGCAAAAGATCCGAGTGTAGAAAGTGCGGACGCGACAAACAGCTCGCCGTGTAGATGCGCCTTTAAGGTATATTAGGTTTGTTCGCGTTGCTTGAAATTCCAAAAGTGTTTGCATTTAAAACGAAATAAATAAATATATCTAGGCATTGAAAAGAAAGAAAACAAAGATGCTTAGTGCAAAAGGTACAAACTTTCGCGCCGCTCGAATCGTCAATTGTTCGGCGACAAAAAGGACCACGTGATCAAAATTGACGCTTGGTATTTGTCAATTTTGATCACGTGATTCTATTTGTCTGAAACGGCCGATTTGAGTGGTTCATGAAAATGCACTTTTAACGAACGCGTTCCTCGCCACCTATTGGCGCGACATTGAGCTATCGTCGCATCGAACGGCTCACCGGGAGTTCGTTTCGCCGTTCTAGATACACATCACCTTTTTGTTTGCGTGCTTTTTTGACAGTTATAAGGGGCATGTACATTTGAAAATCCGATGCGAGGGATGTAATGGCCGCGTGAAGGAGTCGTGAAAGCGGTCGCCCGGCTTGCGTTCGGTGTTGGACCTCTCGTTTCGACGCGCGTTCGTCAGGACGTCGCGCGTTTTGGTCTTCTACTCGTCGACTTCGATGTCGTTACTCTACTACTAGATAAGCACGACGAGGGACCGTCTGTCGGATTGCGGTGTTGAAACTCAGCACCGAGGCTCAAACTCCTTTCTCGGCTGTTTCGCCAGTGACAATACTCGCCGATCGACAGGTATTCTGAAGGTATATCTTTTAACCGTCTCTGACTCTGATTTGAGATATCCTTTCGTCAAAATAACATCACATTAATATACAAGATCTAGTTATACATGTTTCTCTATTTAGTAAAGTATTAATAATTTATGTAAATATACAAT